CTATTTTTTGTTATCTATAAATGTAGTAATTGGGGTATTGGCATATGCTCAAAGGTCTTCAGTTGTCCAGGACATCTTTATTAAGATGATAGTTTTAATTGTGCAGGATTATTGCATAGCAGCACATTCTGGGTGTGTCATAAAGTCTGTTGCCCCAGCTGATGTAGTATACCCAACGAGTTATAATCTTAATGAGCAAGCTTACCAGAAAAGAAAAAAGAATAAAACACCAAATAAATGTACTGCTTTATTTGTATTGTTTGCTTAGAATGTATTTTTTGTTATCTTCTGCATAAAAGACCATCCCCAGATTTAGTAGTTTAAAACAATCCATTATTGTGTCTGTGACTTTGAGGATTGGCTGGGCTCAGTTAGATAGTTCTCACTGGCGAAGGGGGATCCCATGGAGATGCATGATGCCTTGGGCTAGAGTCATCCAAGAATGGAGGTTCAGGATACCTGGGGCTGGAGTCATCCAAGATGACGTACTCACTCACATGTGTGGCACTTCAGGCAGGATATCTGGAACTGCTGGGGGCTGCTCAGGCATCTCTCACCTCATGGCTCATTGGGGCTTCCATTCAGCATGGCAGTTTGAGATTTCTGACATAGTGGCTGCCTTCCCCAGAGTTAACAATTCAAAAGACCCAGCTCGATGGCACAGATCTTTTTATGACATGGCTTTCAAGCATCACTTACGTCCTGTTGGCTTCGCAGAGTCAGCTTAGATTGAGTGGAAGGGGGACCACATGAGGGCATGAAGAGGTGTTCATTGGGGAGCCATCTTGGGAAATTAGCTATTACATAGAGCAGACTTTGGAGTTAAACCTAGGTTCAAATCACTTCTTGTCTTCTTGATCTTGGGTGAGTCACTATTTCCTTCCAAGTCTCAGTTCTCTCAGTATGGAATGGGGACAATAATAACTACTCTGTTAGATTGTTAGGGTTAGGTACATGATGTATGAAAATCACTTAACACACTGCCTAGCTGTTTATAAGTACTTAATAAAGGGTAGATGCTACTATTTTGAGGATAAAGAATAATGATAACTAGAGGGGTTAAAAGCTAAACTAGAGGGATTTAACAGTACCTGGATATTATGGCAATTACATTTTTCCTTCCAGTAGTAATAACAACAGATTCCCTTTGGAGACATAGTTTGATCATTAAGAACTGCCTGGGCTCATATTGCAGTTTTGCTACTTATGAGCTAAGTAACTCAGGCAAATAACCTGATCTCTCTGTGCCTTAGTTTTCCCATCTGTAAAATGAAGGTAATAATAGTGTCTATTTCACAGGGTTGTTGTGAGGATTAAATGAAGTAATATATAGATGGTATTTAAAACAATGTCCAACGTCTATTAATGCTCCATAAGTGTTACTTATTATTATAGCTTTATGTCCTTAGTGTCATTTAATCTCCTGGAAAGGGTAATAAACACCAGAATTTTTATAAAGGGTGTGTGTGTGTGTGTGTGTGTGTGTGTGTGTATATGACATTACTTTCTCATTCATTCAATTCTATCACACAATTACTGAGCACCAACTATGTGTCAGATAGTCTTCTAGATACTGGGTATAGAGCACTGAACAAAGCAGATTTGTCAAACTCAGATGTATAATAGGTTTTTAGATGGTTTCTTTGATTGTTACAGGTTTGTGATAGTTGTAGATATTGGTCTCATACTTTCCATTATTTTTGTTCTTATTTCAGATTTATAGTTTTGACTAAACAGCTAAAACTGGATTAAATAGAAGAGGCAGTCAACAGTTTTGAGTCATGTATTTATTTCAATGAAAATTAATTTTTTATATATATATATTTTAGGGGTGTCTAACTATCAAGTTGAAGAAGATATAGGAAAGTTGAAGTCTTGTCTCACTGGCTTCCTTCAGGAATATGGATTATCTGTAATGGTGAAAGACGATTATGTCCATGAATTGTGAGTATTTTTTTTAGGGAATTTAGGAGACAGTACTGTTGTGTTACATGGTTAATCTGTGTTCCTGTCTCCATTCTTTCCTGTAGTTGCCGATATGGAGCTGCTGAACCACACACCACTGCTGCATTCTTAGGGGGTAAGTTCCAGAGATGAGAAGACTGTCACCTGTTGTTATATGGTACACTTGTGAAGTTTTGTTTTCCTAGGAGGTCAGTGTAGCACAGTTGGTTTCCCTGCTTTCCATCTCTCCCACTGCTGTCCTGAAGCGTAATTAATCTTTCTGAGGCATAGCTCTGATTGTTTCTCTCACTTAACTAACCTTCTGACCTGCCAGTACACACATATACACTATAGTAGTCCTTGGAAGACAAATCCAGAGTCCTTCATTCTGTGCTCTGGTTTTACCCAGCCTTTCTTTCCTTGTTTTTTTCAAGTTACTTGCTTTCCCCCTAGACATGCCCTTTGATTTCCTGCTCCTTGAATCTTTACCCCTCTCTGGACCCATTTGCCCTAAATCTCCCTATTTCTTCCATGTCTAAAATCTACCTGCTTTTCATGACCCAGCTCAACAATACCTTCTCTTTCATAAGACTCCTTGGAGTCTGGAAGTTTGAGATCAGGGCCAGTATAATTGGTTTCTGGTGAGGCCTCTCTTCGTCTCTTCATGGCTTGTAGGCAGTCACCATCTTGCTGGGTGCCATAACCTCTTTTCTGTGCAGGAAGGTGAGGGTGGGTGGAACATGGCTCTCTAGTGTCTCTTCTTAGAAGGCCCCTCTCCATGACCTTAGTTACCTAATTACCTCCCAGAGACTATCTCCAAATATGGTCACATTGAGGGTTAAGGCTTTAACATACAAATTTGGGGTACATGCCTTTGGTCTACAACACGTGCATTCTATTATTATTCTGCACCAGTCACTTCTTTGGGGTCTTTGTTTAAATATTATCTTCTCTGTGAGGCCATTCCTGATTCCCTGATTTAAAATAGTCCCTCCTCTTGCACTCATATCCACCCCCCTCCTTGCTTTTTCTCCTTAGCTCCTAGTCACTTGACATTTTCCTTGTTTGTAAATTCTCTCTCCCTCACTACTGAAAAATAAGATCCATGAGGACAAGAATTTTTGTCTTTTGTTCCCCGCTGTATCCCTAGTGCCTAAGACAGTATCTGGTACAGAGCAGAGTCTGATTTTATTGAATGAATGAATGTGAAAGCAGAAGCTTCAGATTATAAAAGATGAAAAATTGTTTTCTTAGTTGTTTTTTGTTATTGTTTCTTTGTTTTCTTTTTTTTTTTTTTGAATGTGCATGCGTACCAGTTGTATTTGACTCTTTGTGACCCCATGGACTATAGCCTGCCAGGCTCCTCTGTCCATAGAATTTTCCAGGCAGTAATACTGGAGCGGGTTGCCATTTGCTTGTCCAGATCTTCCTGATCCAGGGGTAGAACCCAAGTCTCTTGTGTCTCCTGCATTGCAGGTACCTGGGAAGCCAGGTTGTTTGAACAGTTAACTTTAAAATTTGTTACTATCTCTATATACTCAGACTGTTACTGAGTAAAGCAGTCTAGCAGTATTTAATATAGATCTTTTCCAAATTATAAATATTCCTTTAACCCCTTTTTATTTTAAAACATGCACAGGGTAAAATTCAAATGCAACAGAAGGGTATCCTTTGAGAATCTTTTCTGTCTTTAAAAAAGCCTTTTTAAAAAACAGCAGTAATTTATAATGCTGTTTGACTTCTTCTTGCAGCATATATTTTGCCAATATTTTTAAACCACCATAATTTTAAAAACTTCTTTTAAACTATGGCATATTATTTCAAGGTGTGACTGTATAGAACAAAATTTTTATTTCCTTTAATAACCGTTATAAAAGCTTATAGTCCCTTGTTTTGATATGACTCAGTAAGTTATGTCTGTTTTGGATTACTGTTAAACATCTTTAGTTTTGGAAAGGAAAGGTTTTCTTTACAGAATTGAGTATTTTTATATTTATATAATTTTTAAAATTTACCTTTTTCAAAGATTTGCTTTTCTCCTTTTTTCTTGCAGGAGCTGCTGCTCAAGAGGTTATCAAAATAATCACCAAGCAATTTGTAATTTTTAATAATACTTACATTTATAGTGGCATGTCACAAACTTCAGCAACTTTTCAGTTGTAGAATAAGTACCCTATAGTGTGTTAAAATGACTGAAACTGTAATTGTTTTCAGGTTGTGCCCTAGTCTGTCAAGTTCTGTTGGGGAGAATTGTTAAATTGTTTCCTTAATAAACATTTTTCTCATTTGTAATAATGTAATCTTGTTCTTTGGGGGGCGGGTGGGGAGCTGAGGTGGAGAGGAAGGAAACAATTCTCTCAGAATAAAAGTTATCCATTCCTAATTGAGTTCATTATTTCTGGCTTGCTATTTCAAAGTTACTTATAGTAATGTGTTAACATTAGAAACAGCTTAAAATACTTTTTTCTTAGGCTTAAATAATGAATTTAAGGCATGTGCAGATTTAAGCTGTGGAGATCTTAGTACCCATCACTATTTGCTAAAACTAATACAATTTAAAGAAAACAAGTATTTCAAATGTATAGTTTTATCAGAAAACAAAAACAGGCTACAAAAGGGAGGGAGAGGGAAGGTTGGAAGAGAGGAATGAAGGCAGGGCTTGGGGCTCCTAGGGCCTAGTCTTAGTCCCCACGTCTGCATACACCTGCCCCAAGGCCTCAGCGACTCTACAGCCAGTTCTGAGTCCTTGAGGCAGACGCCCCTTTAAGGAAAGAAAGCCCTTTACTTGGAGAGCGGCGAGGTTAGAGGAGTTCCCGTTTCACGTTGTGACTTTCCACCACTTAAACAGGCACACAGTTACTAAACCCCGGCCCTTTGGAATGCTGGTGACCGGCTGCGCGCGTTTGACTCCGAATAGGGGCGGGGTGGCCGGAAGTCCCGCCCTGCGGAAGTGAGCGCGCCCTCTCGGCGGGAAACCGGGTCCGGCGTCGAGCTAGGCGCACGTCGAGGGATAAAGGGGGAAACCCAACGCGCTGCGACTTAAGGGTAAAGGCCACGGCCTCCACTCTCTTCGCCTTGGGGCCCTTAGCTCCTCCTGGGAACCCGCCCGTCGCTTCCTGTGGAATGTCTGGGATGCGGCACACCTCTCCTTAACCTTCTTAACAGACCCTCAAGGGGGGATGGAATGAGTTGGCGGGAAGGGGCCTGCCAGAGGAGGCGGCCTTCCCCGGCTGCGGCCCCCACAGGGAAAAAGAACTGTCACGTACCACTTAGGAGGCTAGACCCTGGCAGTTTTCTGCCCGATAGTACTTCAGAATCCCCGGGCGTCTCCCCAGGTTATTCTGATATATGAAGGAGGTGTGCGCTGCTGCGGAGGTCGTTTTTCAGGTCGGGTGTGGGTCCCTGTGTCCTACATCACCTGAGGGGGAAGGCATGTTAAAGGGGCTGATTTTCAGACCCACCCACTATCCTTTGGGTGAATCGCAAGTGGTGGGGCCTGCCTCAGGCCGCTAACCAGCGCCCCGCTCGCTCACTGCAGGAGTTGGAGAATCCTGTTCTAAGAAAGAAAGGCCCGAGGGACCACTTATGCTCTTCAGAAGGAGTTCCTCCAGTTATTTAGGTGAGCCAGGCCAGCGGGGGTTAAGGAGCGCCAATTGACGGAACAGGGTGGTTTGCCCTCCTTCCTGGGAAAGACGTCTGTCAGTTACCCAGTTACCCGTGGAAACTGGGGTGAGGTGATGCGGATGGATGCCAACCATCCTCCAGGCTCCTGAGGCTGGGAGTGCCGATGTTGTAGTGAAATGGCTTCTGGTACTGGCAACCTGTTTCTGGACCGGATCGATTGTTATTTCTCAACCTAAACTATTGTAAGGGAAAGTTTAACATTAGTTGCATATTGGCCCTTTCTCGCCTGCTGAGAGGAATGTTTCCACGCGGGATGAGTCCAAGCTGGGGATCCACTGTCAGCTACTTAGTGGTGGCATTTATTGTGGAATTCTCACCCCCGCCAGCCTTATCCACAGAATGATGTCATTTATCTTTCTAATATTTTGGGGGTGCTATTTAGATTTCAAAAACCTTTTCATGGTAACATATTCTAGACCACATAAATAAGTAGTGTTCAGCTCCTTTACTTGCTTAAATTTTAATTTGAGTTTGGGGAATTGAGTGAAACCTGTAAGTAGGAGAGTTTCTTTCTGGTACCTGGGGGGTGATCGGGGGAAGAATCCCTTTTTTCCTCTTGTGAGAATACAGTAAATAATTTTGAAATCTTGTTCATGACAGTTTGCATCTATTCACTAAGTTCTGAAAATACTTAACAATATGCTTTATTGGGGCAGGTGCTTTTGTTCTTGGGAATATACTGTATTTTATACTTTAAAATTAATTTATAATTATTAATCACTTGAAAGTTATAACTTATCCTTTGCTGTGGATGTTTTTAAGTATGTAGCAAGTAAATATAATGACTTGTTTTTAATGTTACTAGATATTTGGCAAACTTTATCTTATTTTACTGTGTAACTATTAAAAATGGTATAAAAAAGACGGGAATAGAAGGTAGTTTGTGTTGTTAGTTTCAATTTAAAAGTTATATCCCTCTTTAATAATGAAAATCTTATTAAAAAGCAGATTGACTAATTAAAATGAAGGAACGAGTCCTTAAACTCTCACAAAGCAAAAACCTCCATGTATGATACAATGGACTATTTTTTTAGCAGAAGTATTTTTAATTGGAAGATAATTACTTTACAATGCTGTGTTGGTTTCTGTCATAGGATAGCATGAATCAGCCATAAATATACATATGTCCTCACTTTTGAACCTCCCTCTCACCCCTACTCCATCCCACCCTTCTAGGTTGTCACAGAGCACCTGGTTGAGCTCCTTGTGCTTTACAGCATCTTTCCACTAGCTTTCTGTTTTATACATGGTAATGTATATGTTTCAGTGTTACTCTCTCAATTCATCCCACCTTCTCCTTCCCCACTGAATAGACTAATTTTTCAATAGATTGTTTTTTAATCTAGTGTTTTTCCAAATCTTAACCCATTTGCTCATAGGCAATTCAACCTTTAGAAAAGAATGAAAATTTTCCTGTATATGTTTATGTATATATAGTATGTCTGTTTATAACATGTCTCCAAATTATATGTAGGAAACAGAGTAACGGATAAGAGTGTAGCCCTTACCTCAGTTTTCTTGATTCTCATTTCAGCTCTGTCACTGACTAGCTCTTTGAACTTGGACAAATTGTTTACTTTCTTCTCATCTATCTTTATCCTTGTAGCTCCCTTGCAGGGTTGCTGTAAAGACTAAAAATAATAATATTTATAAGATTTATAGGGGTTTGCAGGGCCTGACCTACCACTGGGCTTGCTGAACATTAGAAGCTTCTCTTACAAACGTGTGAAAAATGAAAAACAGTGAAATAAAACACTACCAGCTAAAGACAAGAAGTGTTAATATGTTGCTGTTTTCCATCAAATTTTATATTTGCCTCTAGATAATTGGGGTCATACTGTAGATAAAATTTTGAGTCTTGCTATTTTTTATTATATTGTAACATAAGCATTTTTCTGTGTTATCAAACATTTCAAGTAAATGTCAATATTCTTGTAACAATATCGTATCCTGTGGATATACTATGGTGTACCTACCCATTCCTTTTTTAATGGAATATTTACGTTAAGAAACTGGCAAAACTAGTAAACATGTGTGTGCATGTATACTAAGTCACTTTTGTCACATCCAACTCTGTGTGACCTTGTGGACTGTAGCATGCCAGGCTCCCCTGTCCATGGGATTCTCCAGGCAAAAATACTGGAGTGGATCGCCATGCCCTCTTCCAGGTGGTCTTACTGACCCAGGGATTGAACCCATGTCTTACATCTCCTGCATTGGCAGGCGTGGGGTCCATGGGGTCACAAAGAACTGGACATGACTGAGCAAGTGAACTGATTGGCAGGCAGGTTCTTTACTGCTAGCACCACCTGGGAAGCCCCCAGTAAATGTGTGTATATTACTTTATAAAAGATTTGCATATTTATCATTAAATTTTTTGTTGTGAATTTTAATTTTGAGAGTAAGAATGAACAATAGAATAATTGTCTCCCTTTAACTACATAGTATTGGGGTAAATAAGAATTTTTGAGTTCTGTGAGTCCTGATTTATTGTTCTAAGAAGTTGACTGGACTCTGATATATTTTTCTAAAAAAATCAGCTTAGCATTTTAAAGTAAAGAATGTGAGAGGCCATATTAGGGTTTCCAGTTATTTTTAAAATTCTTCTAATGAATGATGTATAAACAAAGATTTAAGCTTGAAAGAAAAAAAAAGTTGTTAGAAAAAAAATTTAGTATTAAGCTAAGCTTGTGAAGAGAAACGCACATCTAAAGAGTGTGTGAGTATTTGTGTTTTAAACCTCTGATTCATGGAGGGTGCCCAATCTGAAATGATGGGATGAAAATTTACAGAAAAGAAAATAAGGAAGGAGGAGCAGAGCAGTTAGATTCAGTCAATAATTCATGTGTTTGTTTAATAAAACCTATTGAATGCCTGTAGTACTTAAGAATGTGAGGTGCATTCATGTATGTTTTCAATTTTAATTCTTGTAACAACTCTATGAAGTTGGAAATTTCTATTTTATAGATGAGGAAACTAAGCCACAGAGAACTTAAGTCTAGTATCTAGTAAGTTTCAGGGGCTTTCTGGGTGGCTCAGTGGTAAAGAATATGCCCTGCCAATTCAGGAGATGTGGGTTTGATCCCTGGGTCAGGAAGATCTGCTGCAGAAGGAAATGGCAACCCAATTCAGTATTCTTGCCTGGGAAATCCCATGGACAGAGAAGCCTGGCAGGCTACAGTTCATGGGGTCGCAAAGAGTCAGACACTACTGAGCACACATGTTCTTTTCCTACTCCTTTGCATACTATACTTCTGGAATTCTCAAAATAGATTTAAATTGAGAGAATACCTTTATCTTATAGATGAAATATAAGGAAAAAGAATGCAGACAAGCATGGAAAGTGAGGACACAAAGAAAACACAAGGTGAGAAATTTATGGATCATATATCTGGGATTTGTTTTTTAGTCTATTTGTGGAATACACCACAGATTATCTGACAGGCTCCAGGAATTGAAAGAATTATTCACTAATTTACATAAGTATTTATTAAACATCTAGTCTGTACCAGTCACACTGACTTTAGGAAACTGACATTCTAATGGGAGATGGCATGCTGATAATTAGAATACCATATGATGGCTGATTCAATGGAGGTGTATGTAAGAACAGTGGAAACCTGAGAGGACCACCAGCAAATTTCAGAGCTGTCTTCAGAAAAATGGAAATTTAATTCATGGACATGGAGGAGGTTAACCAGAGAGGAAATACTAAAATATAATAGGATGGGAAATAGTAGTCCCTGATGGACCCCATCACATCAGGGTTTGGCTGAGGAAGAAGACCCCCCCCCCCCAGAAAAAAAAAAAAGACTAAGAAAAACATTTCAGAAAGGTAAAGAGACAGGAATGTGGTATTTTGGAAATTAGCCTTATGAGAATGCTTTGAGAAAGGCATTCTCATTACCCAAGAGGCTCAGTCTTAAATGTCACAGATGATGACTGAAGTATCCACTGGCCTTTTCATTTGTTTTGTTAATAGTAAACTTAATAGATTTCAGCCAGATTGCAGTATATTGAGGTCTGGGTGGGAAATAACCTGGAGACAGTATGAATAGCTTGGTGGTGATTGTTTAGTTGCTAAGTCATGTCCAACTCTTTGCAGCCCCATGGACTGTAGCCTGCCAGGCTCCTCTGTGGGATTTCCCAGGCAAGAATACTGGAGTGGGTTGCCATTTGCTCCTCTAGAGGATCTTCCTGACCCAGGGATCAAACTCACGTCTCCTACATTGCAGGCAGATTCTTTACCATTGAGGCACCAGAGATTCCCATGAATAGCTTGCTCTTCTTCAGAGCTTATCTGAAGATATATGGCAGTAACTAGAGGGAGGTTGTAATGTTAAGGATCTTATAAGAGGTACAGAGATAAGAGAATTTGTGAAGGGACTTTCCTGGTGGTCTAGTGGTGAAGACTTCACACTTCCACTCTAGGGGGCCTGGGTTCTCTCCCTGGTCAGGGAACTAGATTCTACATGCGACACTGAGTTTGCATGCCACAACTAACAAGGTCCTGCATGCTGCACCTGAAAAGACCCCTCATACTCCAACTAAAAGATTCCACATTCCAAATGAAGGTAGGAGATCCTTCATGCCACAACTAAGATGTGGCACAGCTGAATATATATATATATGTATATTTTACATTTTATAGTTTCAGATTTTACATTTAGAACTACAATCTATTTTAAATTAGTTTTTGTATACAGTGTGAATAATGGATTCAAGTTTTGTTTTATTGTCTTTTTGAATATGATTATCCAGTTGTTCCAAAACCATTTGTTGAAAAGGCTAGCTTTCTTCTCTACATTGCCTTTGTAAAAAAAAAAAAAAAAAAACAGCCACTCATATATACGGGTTTATTTTTGTACTATATTCTGTTTCATTTATCTGTTTATCTGTTGATGCCATACTATACTCTTGATTACTATAGGTTTGTTTTAAGTCTTGAAATTAAAGAGAGTTGAGTCTTCATCTTTACTCTTCTCTTTCAGAATTGTTTGGCTATTCTAGGTCCTTTGCCTTTCCGTATGAATTTAAATCAGCTTGTCAATTTGTACCAAAATAGCCTGTTGGGATTGCATTGAATCTCTAGATCAATTTGGGGGAGAATTGACATCTTAACAGTATTTAATCTTCTGACCCGTGAACAAGGTGTATCACTTCCTTTATTTCCGTCTTCTTTAATACCTCACAGTATTTTTTAGTGTGTATGTAATTCACATCTTTTGCTAGTAAAATTTGTTTTTCTTTTTCTTTGGCCACACCTTGTGCAGGATCCTAGTTCCCTAACCAGAGATTGAACCTGTGCCACCTGCAGTGCAAGCACAGAGTCTTAACCCCCGTACCACCAGGGAACTTCCAGTATTTCATATTTTTTATGCCATTTTAATTGGCATTGGTTTTGAATTTCAATTTCTAATTATTTATTGCTGGTATATAGAAATGTTACTGATTTTTGCATGTTCAATGGATATTCTGAAACCTTACTATACTCACTTTTTAGTTCAGTAGCTATTTTGTAGATTCCATCAGATTATCTACATAGAAGGCCATGTCGTATGTGAATACTGATAGTTTTATTACTTCCTTCCAAATTTGGATGCCTTTTCTTTTTTCTTACCTGATGGCACTGGCTAGGCTCTCTAGTGCAATGATAAATGGAATGTTAAATAGAATGACACTGGCTAGCTTCTCCAGTACAATGTTAAACATCTCTGTCTTGTTCCTTAGGGAGAAAGAATTCATTCTTTCTCTGCGAAGTATGGTATTTACTGTAGGGTTTTTGGTAGATAATACTTCATCAGGTTGAGGAGGTTCCTTTCTGTTTCAAGTCTGATGAATTTTTTTTTAGATCAGAAATGAAATTTTACTTTATCAAATGCTTTTTTTGCATATACTGAGATGATGTATTCTGTTTTAGTTTGTTGTATTACATTGACTGATTTTTAAAATTATAAACTAATCCTGCATTCCTGGGATAAACTCACTTGGTCATGATGCATTATAATTTTAATTTACTTTTGAATTCAATTTGTTAAAATTGTTTAGACATTTTTTGCATGTATGTTTGTGAGAGATATTGGTCTGTAGTTTTCTTTTTTCCTTTCTAATGACTTAGTTTTAATATTAGAATGAAGAACTAATACTTTCCAAAAATAGATGGGGAAACAGTGGAAACAGTGCTGACTTTATTTTTCTGGGCTCCAAAATCGCTGCAGATGGTGATTGCAGCCATGAAATTAAAAGACTCTTACTCCTTGGGAAGGAAAGTTATGACCAACTTAGATAGCATATTAAAAAGCAGAGACATTACTTTGCCAACAAAGGTCCGTCTAGTCAAAGATATGGTTTTTCCAGTGGTCATGTATGGATGTGAGAGTTGGACTATAAAGAAAGCTGAGCATTGAAGAATTTATGCTTTTGAACTGTGGTGTTGGAGAAGACTCTTGAGAGTCCCTTGGACTGCAAAGAGATCCAACCAGTCCATCCTAAAGGAGATTAGTCCTGGGTGTTCACTGGAAGGGCTGATGCTGAAGCTGAAACTCCAGTACTTTGGCCACCTGATGCGAAGAGCTGACTCATTTGAAAAGTCCCTGATGCTGGGAAAGATTGAAGGCAGGAGCAGAAGGGCACGACAGAGGATGAGATGGTTGGATGGCATCACCGACTCAATGGACATGGGTTTGGGTGGACTCCGGGAGTTGGTGATGGACAGGGAGTCCTGGCGTGCTGTGGTTCATGGGGTCACAAAGAGTCGGACACAACTGAGCGACTGAACTGAACTGAAAATAAGTTGTAAAGTATTATTTCTCTTGAAATTTTTTGGAAAAAACTTTGTGTAGAATTGACATTATTTCTTCCTTAAATGTTGGGAAGAATTTACAGATGAAGCCATCTGAACCTGGGGTTTTCTTTATAGAAAGGTTTTAAACTATGATTTCCATCTATTTCATACACACACACACACACACACACACACACACACACAATATTTATTTCTTCTTGGGCAAGTTTTGGTTAATTTGTTTCTTTGAAGCAACTTGTCCATTCACCTAAATAAATCATTGAATCTGTAGGTATGAAGTTGTACATGACCATTATTATCTTTTGAATATCTTTAGAATCTATGTTGATGCATCTGTCTTAGTCTGATATTGGTGATTTTTGTCTTTGCTCTTTTTTTTCCCTGATCAGTTTGTCTAGGGGTTTGTTGGTTTTACTGATCTCCTCAAAGACCCCGCTCTGTAGTTCAGCTTGGATCTTTATGATTTCCTTCCTTCTGCTTATGCTGGTTTAATTTACTCTTTCGCTAGTTTCTTTTAAGGTGGAAGCTGAGATCATTAATATGTGACTTTCTTCTTTTATAATATAGACATTTAGCATTACACATTTCTCCTAAACACTGATTTAGTAGCATCACACAAATTCTTTTTTTTGGAGGGGTGTATGCTGCATATCTTGTGGGATCTTAGTTCCCCAACCAGGGATCAAACCCAGGCCCCAGCACTGAAAGTGCTAAGTCTTAACTACTGAACCACCAGGCAATTAGTACATCCCACCAATTCTAATATACTGTATTTCATTTTCATTCAGTTCATTCTAAATAAATATTTAAACCAAAGTAGCTTTAATTCAAGAGAATAATGCTTGTATTTTCTTTTCCTATATTTTGTGTGTGAAGAAAATCAAATAATTATAAGAAGCTCATTTCAAGTTGTTTTATTTAAGGAGCATCTTTCTTTACATATTTTTATTCCTTGTTAGATTTTTTTAAAGTAATACATGTTATTTAAAAAACAAAAATATGTATTTTGAGGGTGAGATTTAAATGATTAGTTTTTGAAAGGAAATGTTTAAAATAATGAAATTTTTGTTCTTTAGAAGTGAAGACTGACCTGAACTTATTATTGGAGTGTCTGAAGTATCAAATGGACAATGCTTTTTCACAAAAGGAAGCTTTGGTCACTATTCATTCAATTTGCCAACAAAATAGTAAGACATGATAGTGAAATTTTGTTTGTGATTCTTTTTAGTATTGTGATGTATGCGTTGTTCTTTCAATGCGTATTATGAAGTATGCATTGTTCTTTCTCTTCTATTCAGTTACTTTATATGTTGTTATGTTCATGTGATTTACTGTCCTTAAAAGAATAAATATAGTAAATATCCTTCTTTGTTTTGTCTGCACATTTTACAGGTAATGCAGGTCTTTATTTTCGGGAAATTGGTGGTTTGATGTTTGTAAAAAATCTTGCAAAGTCAAGTGAACATAGTATGGTAAAAGAAGCAGCCTTATATACATTAGGAGCTGTTGCAGAACAAAATGGTAAAATATGAAAACTTTATTTCATTGTCCTAAGCATTGTGTTTTACTTTAACAAACTATTGAAATGTAATTTTAGAATTAAATTTTTTACATGTCTGTATAGTTTTATCCAAGTGTTTTATTTAAATTAATGCATGCCAAAGATTTTAACTTTTTAACTGACGAGGGAAGCAGTAAAATGTTACAGCTGCTTCAGAAGTAATGGCAAAAAACAGTGCTGTAGGCATTTGAGAAAGCTGAATTTTATGAACAGGTACATAACTAGTCAGTGTCTGCAGGTCAAAGATCAATTGCATTCTACTGGTCAAAATGTTTTCATTTCTGTGGACAAGAATAACTTGTATCACTATCAGTTTTCTAGAGTTAAGAATTAGCCCAAAGACAGTAAAAGGCACAAATAATCTAGGAAGAAGGCTAGACAGGATGTTCAGTACTTGTTATCATCCATTTCGAAATCTTTCACCGTTTTTTTCTTGCCATTAGTTGGAAACATTTTTTTAACTTTGTCTTTTACTATGCTTATCCTTTTTTTTTTTTTTGGCCATACAAAAGTTTTTTTATTTTTATAAAAATAAATTCATCATTCTTTTCCTTTCTTGTTTCTGAATTTTAAATCAGAGGAAGTTTTCCCATATTCCCAGGTTATAGAGGAATCCACTCACATTTTCTTTTGGTACTTGTATGACTTTATTTTTTACTTTTGCATGTTTTATTCTTTTTGAATTTTCCTGGGGTATGAGATGATGAATGGTTCCAGTTTTATGTGGCAATCCAGCTATCCCAACACTTCTTATTGTAAAGTAGATCTTTTTCACATTGATTTGAGATGCAGCCACTATCACTTAATGAGTCTATCTCTAGTTTTTCTATTCTGTTCATTGTCTGTATATCCGGGTACTTGAATCAGAATATTAAGGTAACCCACAACCATCTTGTATGTGGATAAAGATGTTTTGGGTGCTGGGCCACTCAGTTGTGTCCAACTCTTTGCAATCCCATGGATTGTTTCTTGCCAACTCCTCTGTCCATGGGATTCTCCAGGCAAGAACACTGGAATGGGTTGCCATTTTCTTCTCCATGTTTTGGGTGTGGCTGACAAAAATATTTTTTCTGTAGTGTACCTGAAATGAAGTTAAATCTAAATCGTGTTTATCAAATAACTTTATATTCTTATATTTTCATCCATTAACTTCATCACTTGTTTTGAGAATAAGTTATGCTCTAGGCACTGGGGATAAATAAGACATGGTCTTTGCCTTTGAGAGTGTCTAAAAACTGTTCTAGACCCTGGATATATGTGTTCAAATTATTTTTTACAATACTGCTTATTGCATGATTATCACAAAAGAACCCCTCCTTATCAGGTAGGTATCATTTTTGCTTTTTGAAAAGATATTTTTATATCTAGAAGAGTCTTTAAAAATAGCACAACTATCATTTACCCCTCTTTTCTAAAGCAGGTTTCTGAATTTTCTTAAATTCTTCTTTGGCTACATTTTGTTACTTATCCTCAAATTTTCGGTCATGTTTTATCCCAAATTTTTGTTAGGCTTAATTTTGAAGTTTAGTGACTGAAAATTCTATGAGATTGCAATACATGCTTTAGAACTAGGTCAAGTACTTCTGATTAAGATACTGCTTCTTTGGTTTGTTAATTGAGTAAGCACTTAAATTTGTCAAAATTTGCTATATGACTGATGAATGTCAGTGAAATGAGACTTGGTTGAGAACCATCCATAATGGCAATTTTATATTTTGTTCAGCATATTTTAAAACTTGTTTGTGCTAATACATAGAAATTAAAATTATATTTTCATGTTTCAGTTTACTGTCAGCAGACTCTGTGTACTTCAGAATTGTTTGAAGACTTAACTTGGTTCTTATCTAACAGTGATTCAAACACAAATCTGAAAAGAATGTCTGTCTATGTTATTTTGGTTCTGGTTTCAAATAACAGTAAGTACATTCTCTTATGTTATAGAAATATTTTTAAAAATAATAAATTGGAACAGACATTATTAATCATTTTATTCTAGTCAGTGCCTTTTAAAACTTTACTAACTTCTTACTACTGGCTCTAAAGACAATATAGCATGATTTTAATTATTTGATATTTATTAATTTAAAAAATAGTAAAGCGATTTGTATTATTTAACTAGCATTGCAAAGGAATGGCATTAAAAGCAAAAGAGAAGCATTTAATGAATTATTGTTGTTTTGACACTAAGTCATGTCCAACTCTTTTGTGACCCCATGGACTGTAGCCTACCAGGCTCCTCTGTCCAGGGGATTTCCCAGGCAAGAATACTGGAGTGGGTTGCCATTTCCTTCTCCAGATCTTCCTGACCCAGGGATCGAACCCACGTCTCCTGCATTGGCAGGCAGATTCTTTACTGCTGAGCCACCAGGGAAGCCCCATTTAATGAATTAGTTTGGTTGATTTTCCATTGAATTGGCCATTCAGTTATCATCATATTTAAGGTCATTTTATCAGTCAGCAATGACCTTAAATTTCATGTAGCTCTTGGCTAAAGTTTTACTTTGCTTTTGTTGTTTTAGGTTTTATTTTGGAATAATCTTAGCTTCACAAAAAAGTTGCAAAGATAGTATATAGAGTGTTCCTGTATACCTCTTGCTCAGGCTAAAGGCTATTTTTTTGTTGCTTTATTTAGATCTTCAAATTGTTAGAAATTTTATATGCATTTAAATGCTTCTAGATTTTATTTTTTCAGTTTTTAATATTTTAAATTATTTTTTTCTATTTTGGAGCATATTTTGGTACTATAACACAGAACTGTGCAAAATAAATGTTTTGTGATTTTTAGAGGAAATTTGAATACTGTCATTCTCTAAACATAAGTAATATATTTTCCATAATAATCTTGATTATAAATTTTTACCTACTGTAATTCTGTATTGTACTTTATAATACTTTAAAGTGACAAAAGTTATTTATTAAAAGTACTGCTTGAATGTTGTTTTCCATTTGTGCAAAATTATTTTCTAAAAAGAAATCTTTCATGTAATACATGGCAATTTTTTTAAGGGACTGGACAGACACTTGTGAGAGAAACAGGTTGTATTTCAGTTCTATCACAGTTGTTCAAGTAAGTAAAAAGATGTTTCTTATTATTAATTATTCATAACTTAATACCTTAACACATATGTATTAATTACTTTCTTTACTCTTTAACCTGATAGGACTGTTCTTTCAAAATATGAGTTGAATTTGTCAGATGAAAGTGCTTTGCAGAGTTATCAGTTGTGGTCTTCAGTGTGTAGTACGCTGTGTGTCTGTGTCAACAATCCTCAAAATGGTAATTATCTCAAATATTTAAATACTAAAAAAAGACTAAGAACAAATAAAAAGCTGATATTTTCCAAGTATACTAAAATATGGTTGCCTTTATCCCTTTCAGATGAAAATCAAATGCTTTGCTGCTCACTTTTTACGCATGCTAATGACTGGCTGATAAATTGCATGAAAGCTGAGATAATTCGCCCTATTTGCTCATTTATTGGACTCACTCTTGCAAATAACAGTAAGTATTCATTATTCTCCAGGCTTTATTTGAGATAACCTGTTGAATTTCAAAGCATAACCTACTGAATTAATTAATGAATTCCAGTAAATTGGGTCATTTTGGATACATTTTACTATTGTATAAGTTAAAATCTTATACATAGAAAAACATAGCAAAACTATAAAAACCTACATAGAGTGTTATCTGAAAAAATTAGAAATTAATAAAAATAAAACATCTAGAAAAGTCCCTAATATCTAGAAATTAAGCAACAAAATACCAAAAACCCACATCAAAACAAAAACACAAACCTATGAGTCAAAAAAATTACAAAGGAAATTAGAAATGTTTTTAACTTAATGATGATGAAAACATAATATTTTTAGATGGAAATTTATAGCACTAAGGCTTGCATAGGAAAGAAGAAAGGTCCCAAATCAATTATATTGGTTTCCACCTAAGAAACTAAATAATAAAACAAGTTAAAGTCAATGTAAGCATAACAAAGGGAATAATAAAGAGAAGATTAGCAATCAATGAAATATAAAAAGAACAGAATAGAGAAATCAATTAAACCAAAAACTAGATCTTTGAAAAGATCAGTAAAATGGATCCTTTACCCAGACTAATCATGAAATAGAGAGAAGGCCCAAATTATGAGGAATATAGCTTTATGCCACCAAATTAGATAACGTAAATGAACTGGACAGATTCTTTGAAAGACAAACTACAAAAGCTCACTCAAGAAGAAATGTATAACCTGAGTATTCAGTATCTAACAGAAAAATTGAATTTGTAGTTTAAAACCTTAACACAGAGGAAATTCTAGGTCATAAAGGCTTCACTGGTAAATTCTACCAAACATTTAAGAGTTCTACATAAATTATTCCAAGAAGTAGAAGTAGAAGAAACACTTCCCAACAAACTTTTAAGGCCAGCGTTATTTCCATACTAAAGCTTGAAAAAGGCATTATAAGAAAACTATATGACAATATCCTACATATATACAGATGTAAACATCCTTAACAAGATATTAGCAAATCAGTCCAGCAAAATATAGAAAGGATGATGTATTCTGATTAGGTGACATTCATTTTAGGAATGCAAGGTTGGTTTAACATTAGGAAATTCACAATATTCATAGATTAGAAAAGAAAAACTATGATCTTCAAAGATGTAGGAAAAGCTTTTCATGTAATTTAGCATACATTCATGACAAAAGATTTTGGTGAGCTAGGAACAGAAGGGAACTTTCTCAATGTGATGAAGGGCCTCTACAAAATATTATAGCTAATACTTAAATGGTGAAGGACTTAATGCTTTTCCCCTAAGATTGGAAAGAAGACAAGGATGGCCACTGTCTTTATTTAACTGGACATCCAAGTCAGTGCAATAAGGCAAGAAAATGAAATAAAAGACATAGAGATTGAAAAGGAGGAAGAAAATATAGTACTTATTCATAGATGACCTGATTGTATAAAGCATCTACAAAAAGCTACAAAACTAGTAAGTGATTTTAGCAAAGTTTCAGGATACAAGGTCATATGGAGACAATTAGGAACTTAAAGTGACTATCATTTATGATAATATAAAAACTCAAAATACTTAGGGATATATTTATTGAAATATGTGGAATGTCTATATGCTGAAAACTATAAAACATTGCTGAGATTAAAAAAAATTAAAACTTAATGGGAGAGATATACTCATGGATTGTAAGATTCAATATTGTCATAATGTCACTTCTCAAATTTGTCTCTAAATTCATAGCATTCCCTATCAAAATCTCAGCAGGCTTTTCTGTAGAAATTGACAAGTTGACTCTAAAATTTACATGGAAATGCAAAGGGGCTAGGATAGTAAAATTTATTTGAAAAAGGACAAAATTGTAGAATTTATGTTACCTGATTTCAATATGTACTATACAGTAATCAACAGTGTAGTACTGGTGTAAGTGTAGGTGTAGATCAATGGGATAAAATAGAGAGCCTAAAAATAGACACACACACACACACACACATATGGTTGATTTTCTACAAAGGTGCCATGGTAACTCTGTGTTGGAAAATGTAGTATTTAAAAAAAATGATGCTGGTAAAAGTATTTACCTATCTGTGAAATATGAATATCAACCCTTACCTTACACAGTATGAAGTGTTAGTTGCTCAATCGTTTCCGATTCTTTGCAACTCCATTGACTGTAGCCCGCCAGGCTCCTCTGTCCGTAGAATTCTCCAGGCAAGGATGCTGGAGTGGGTTGTCATTCCCTTCTCCAGGGAATCTTCCCAATTTGGGGATTGAACCTGGGTCTCCTGCACTGCAGGCAGATTCTTTACCATCTGAGCCACTAGGGAAGCTGGTATACAAAATTAACACAATATACAAAAATTAAATGATCCATTACCTCAATATAAGAAATAAACTATAAAACTTCTAGACAAAAACAGGAGCAAATCTTTATAATTTGGGAGTAGACACACATTTCTTAGGACACAAAAAACATGAGCCACCAAAGAAAAAATTATCATTTGGAGTTCACTGAAATAAAAATGTTTTATTCTTCAGAAGTTTCTGTTAAGGCGAAAAGGCAAGCCATTGACTGGGAGAAAATATTTGTGAAATGTACATCTGATAAAGAACTTGTGCCCAGGAAAACCCCAAGGAAATATCACTATACACCCATTAGCATGACTAAAAGTAAAAAGGCTAGTGACATTAAATATTGAGTGGAACAACTAGAACTTTCTCACACATTGCTGGTGGTATATCTATATTCAGATATTTAAAGCAAATAGTTGTCTTTCACATGCTCATGTGCAAAGGAACATATCTCTATATAATTTCAAAAATTGAAACCTATTTCTGTGATGCTTTGACATTTCCTCTTTGTTTAAATACCAACTTAAATGAATAATACATATAGGACCTTATTACTCTCAGCAGACTGGTATGAAATAGATTAGAGGCATCATCAACTTAATAGACATGAGTCTGAGCAAACTCTGGGAGATAGTGAAGGACAGGTAAGCATGGCGTGCTGCAGTCTATGGGGTCGCAAAGAGTTGGACACGACTTAGTGATTGAACAACAATTTTAAATACTCTGTACAAGTGTAGACTAGGATGTTCTGCTTATAAGTCTGATTTTTCATTACATAGAATATAATTGAAAGTACCTTTTAGTAAAGAAACCTATTTTGGCGTCCCTGTAATACTGAAAATGTTTGAATGAATGAATGAAAGCCGGTTAATCGTGTCCAACTCTTTGCCACCAGTCGTGTCCGACTCTTTGCAGGATTATAGCCTACCAGGCTTCTCTGTCCATGGAATTTTCCAGGCAAGAATACTGGAGTGGGTTGCCATTTTCTTTTCCAGGGAATCTTCCTGACTCATGGGTAGAACCCGGGTCTCCCACACTGCAGGCAGATTCTTTACAATCTAAGCCATAGGGAAACTGGAGAAACTGAAAATGTTTACATATCCTTAAATAACATTTTCTAACAGTCTGTTCCCAGATGTAGAGATTTTTTAACATGATTTTTTTTAGATTAAGAGCTTTGTGTTTTATTAATTTTAATATAAAAAGTACTTTTTATGTTTAAATCATCCTGGCTCAATTTGTGGTTCTATGGTAGACCGGGAAGAAGGTTTATCACAGAATTATAATCATTAGCCCATATATCCATTTGTTATATGTCCCCTGCTGGGATAGGGGCTATAGAGACTGTTGAATGCACAGACCCATGGGGTACTTTCCCATCAGAATCATTTTCAACAGGGGAATAAAAGACTGAAGCCTTTTAAAAAATGTATCTGTCATTGAATCTTTGCTTGGAATAGTTGTTAGGACTCTCAGTAATATATTATACTCTTACGCTCCAAGAAGTAAAAAAATTAGGCTTACTTAAATAAGATGGATGAAATATGTGAGTTTTTTTTTTGAAACAATTAAATTACTTTTTTGTTGATTTAGCCAATCTGAGGAATGAGTTATTTTGGAATTCAGAAAATAGGCAGCTTGCTAGTTGTAATACCAAGCTAAATGAATGAATCTATAGCTCTTGTAGGACTTGAGTTTAATATCATTCTTGCAAATTTACCAGTTCTTGATCAATGAAATGAGATGTCTAACATACAAGAAAGAAGTACTGTACTATACATATGGTTGTACTATGTTGAAATGAGTTTCTTATATAAGTAAATAGAATCAATCTTGTGATTATGTATATGCACAGGTAAGGATTAGATTTTTCATTCTTTAATTTTGGGATTTTTAGTAAGTATTTTTAAAAGTCAAGTTAATGTTATATTTAGTACAAGTTAATTTAATGAAACCATATACTTGTCTTATTTGAAGTATTAATAGTTCTGCTACTTTATTCCTTAAGCTTATGTTCAGAAATACTTTATATCTGTGGGTGGACTGGATGTATTGTCTCAAGTTCTTGTGCAACTGGAATCTGATTCACACAAGACTCCTTTCAGTGCTAAGCTTGCAGTGGTGGTGACAAAGACAGTGGATGCATGCATTGCTGATAATCGTGAGTAAAAATGCTTAGTAATTTTTCCACAGTTGCATTTTGTTTGAATTCAGCATGGTGAGTGTTGAAATGGTAGATTGAACACAAACATGGATTGGACTTCTAGTTTCACGTAAGTGGGAGAGAAACTTAGAAATTATCTAGTCCAACTCCTTATTTTCTCATGGAGGTTATGACGTCCCTAAGGATTCAAATCTAGGTCTTCTGATTTCAGGTTTGATGACAGAATCAAGAGAAGAGTCTGTCAGTCCTAAATCTTTGTTTCACTTAAAAAGCAGCATTAAATGAAAAAGATTAGATGAGAAATCAAGGGACATTTTGGAGACATAGGGAATGGAAAGCCCAATTTATAGATTTTAAAAAATGAGATAAAGAATTAAGGTATGCCTCTATCCAGTAAGTATGAGATGGACTTATCCTACCACAACTAGTGAGTGGCTGAACCAGACTAGAACTCATGGCTATAGATTTTCAAAAATGACTTGAAGAATTAAGGTATGCCTCTTATCTGGTAAGTATGAGTTGGACTTATCCTACCATAATGAGTGAGTGGCCGAACCAGAGTAGAACTCATGGCTGTTTCTCACATGTACAAATACTGAAGAATGATAGTCCACAAATCTTTGTAATAAGCAGTTCTTGACATTCATGAATAACTGAAAAAACATGGTAGATCATTTTTTTAAAATTCAGTTATGTGCTAGGCTCTATGTAAGCTCTAGAGATAAAAAAATGATTATGACATAGTCCTCTGAGGAATTCACAACCTTTTTGTTGCTATCAGGACTGTTAGATTCTGAACTCTGTTTTTAAAAACTGCAAAAAAAAAACACAGCCCATGAGAAGTGTAGTTTAAAATGGTAAACTTCTTGAATTTTTCACATCTCAGTATAGATTCAAGTATGCTTCACTGCATCATTAACATCAATAGAACCATGACCAGTTAGTAGTGTATTTCAATGACAGGCAGGAATTGATTACATAGGAAGGTCTATACTGTCAGTCTAGATAAGACAAGGTATGTAAGATGAGAGCAAGCAGCTTTTAGGGAAGGTAGTATTATTACTTCATATTCATAACACTATATAGGACAACCTAGCAGAAAGCATTCTTCAAAAAATTTGCTTTAGTATAATGTCTTTAGTATCGGAAGAGGAATTAATGAGAGCTTTATAAGCCTCCATCTTATTATAATGCATTTGTTTATAGTCATACATATATATTGCATGTTATATGAGATGTGAATTTTAGATACTATGTAGATATATAATATCATTCTCCCAGGATAAGATCTGAAAAATAGTATATGTAATATCTGGAAAATATGTATAGGTAGGGATAAGTTGTAAGCTTGTACTTGTTCTTTTTTTTTCCCCTTTTTAAGCTACTTTTGGTGTTGTATTATCCAAGTACCACATTGTTTCAAAACTTCTGGCATTGCTGCTTCTTGACAGTCTGGATTCAGGAGAAAAATTTAGTGTCATACTTACTCTTGGTCATTGTACAGAGGATTGTGGTAAGTACTGGATTTACTTAGCATGTTTATTAAAACAGTAGAGTAGAAATACACTGTTATTTCCTCCCCAGCTTAAAAGTACTGTTGCCTTTCTCCTAGTCCCTCAGCCAGTCATTGGGCCTCATCCTTCTTCATCCATGGTATTCAGTCAGTCACTAAGACCTGTGGTTCTATTAATGCATCTATTTATCCTTCCTTATCATTTTCTGCTCAATTCCAGTGCTACTTTCCCAATTTACGCCCTCAGGCCCTCAACGTCTTTCATCAGTGTTTTTGCAAGAGAGTTGTCCTTGTGTCCTCTTCCTTCTGTCTTCGTTTTTTCATTCTACTCCTCACATTGCTGCACAGATATGATCCTGTTCTCCCTTGTTGAAAGCCTTCAAAAGTTCTTTCTTTCTCTACTTTTCATTCTCTCCTATTTTTCTCTTCCCCTTTCATTTCTTCCCTCTCTAGTTTCCTGCCATTGTTCCCCTGTTCACTTGCCTCCTTTCTAACCTTCTTCACTTTTCTCTCTCTCCTCCTCCCATGTTTCCACTTCCCTTTCTTCGTGCTTTCTTGCTTCTTCTCTCTCTTCCCTCATTTCCCATTCTCTCCATTCATTTATTTCTCTATACTTTCTCTTCACCTGTATATAATTTAGGGTTTACTATACCTTTAAAATTCTTAATTTTTATTTTTTAATTGCGGTATAATTGGCAACTAAACCTTTTTTTAAACCAAGTGAGGACAGTTCATTTACTCTTATGAGATATGACACTACTCTGTAGCTGTATTTCACAGATTATAACTTATGAGACTTAGGTATTTATGTAAGTAGATTATTTTCTAAGTTGAAAATACTTCTGAAAATTTGTTTTTCTGTATTTTAAAATTTGAACTATGTTCATAATTATCACAAGAAAGAATTATGACCTCATGGCATATAGTTTAAGGTAAAATAACCCTCAGAATTCCATGGTGGTCCAGTGGTTAGGACTTGGCACTTTCACTATCAGTTCGATCTCTGGTTGGGGAACCAAGATCTCTTAAGCCCCATGGTACAGCCAAAAAAAAAGATGAAATAACTGTTTTCTACTTTAATTTTTGATGTGTTTTCCAGAGGAAAATCAGTATGATTTTTTTAAAAACAATGGCCTTCCACTCATGATACAAGCCTTAACTGAATCTCAGAGTGAGGAACTAAACAAAGCTGCCACTTTCGTGCTTCACAACTGCAAAAAAATTAGTAAGTTTATTATTACTTAAAAAAAAAACCTACCAAAGTTTTTGAAAGGGAATTTATATCTGCTTTGATGAACTAAGCCCCTTTAGCTCCCAGCCTCTTCTTACATTTGAAAAGTAGATTATGTAATTTTGACATGACAACTAGAGTATTACAGCATATAAAAAACTTCTATGGAAGGGAGCAGCAGTATAGATAATTCACTTATTTAATGCACTGTGGACAGATTTAGTTGTAGGACTTAAATCTGAGGGCTACAGGTGACTTAGGATTAAATCATAATATAAAGTATGTTCATTTATTTATTTAAAAAATATTTGAGTGCCTCTTATTTGCCAGACACTGTGCTAGGCTTAAGGGAGACAGTGATAAGATATAGCAGTCTATGTGCTCATAGAACTTAGTTTAACTGGAGAAATAGGAAGTAAATGAATATATTATTATAAATTAATGCAAAGGTTAAGAGTGGGTGGAGCACAGATCCTAACCTGTAATAAAAGACTGTGACCTAGACTTGGAGCAGAACAGGCTTTGGGAGGAAGTGATTCTTCACCTGAGATCTGAATGTAGAGTTAATTAGGTGAAAAGAAGGGAGTTTGTCTTGGTCCAGTGTCTCAAGCATAAGCAACGGTGAGGCACAAAGGTCCTGTGAGAGGAAAGAACCTGGTGCATCCAAGAATTGATGGCTGGAGCATAGAGGAAATAGCCCTGAAAAGGAGTTTGGTCTTTTGAAAGAAAAATTGCAGCCACAATACGTAAAAAAATTAAAAATTATAGGAAGGAACCTGTAATCCACATGTGTTAAAAAAAAATACTTTAAAACCAGTATCCATAAACTTGAGCATGTTTATATGTCTGGTATAACATATTTTCATGCTATTTTTTCCCTATAATTCCGAAAAGTAAAGTCTTATTTTATGACTCTTCAGGTCCTCAACTTCTGTCAAGCACTTTCTTTCCACTTATTTTCAGTACCAATTAGGCAGTTAAGATGGTTTGGATGTGCAAAATTTAGAGAAGGGGTTGTGGGATATGAGTTTGTCCTTATTTAAAGTGTTCAAATAACATTGCTAGTAATGGATAAACTCACTATTTTTTTTCCATATTACAAAGCTGAGAAGTTATCTCTAAGTCTAGGAGAATATTCTTTTGATAAAAATGAAGAGCGTTTAAAGGACATAAATATGAAAGAGAAGAATCTTGAAGATTACTGGAAGAAAGCAAAGGAAATTTTACACAGAATAGAAGAACTTGAAACAGAAGGAAATGAGGTTGGCTTTTTTGTTTCAAATAATACAGAAATTTTTTCAAAATTTTTTTAATAATAGAGGTTGGAGGGTAAAATATTTTTCTTACAAATTTACTTTTTATGGTTTTAAATTTAAAATTCAATAGTAATACTTGAGGAATCATCCTTGAACACAGAAAAAAAATATTTTTAAAAAGTGAAAATGAAGGACTTCTCTGGTGGTCCAATGGTTAAGAGTCTGCCTTCCAATGCAATGGATGCAGGTTCGATTCCTGGTCAGAGAACTAAGATCCCACATTCCTTGGGGGCATTAAGCCTGGCCTTCACATCTAGAGAGCCTTCCTGCTGCAGATGGCAGAGCCCAGGCACTCCAGAACCTTGCTCTCTACAACTTCAGAGAAGCCTAGGTGCCACAACTGTAAAGCAGCTTAAAATAGATATTTTAAAAAGTGGAAATAATGACTGAAAAAATAAGAGACATGGAAGATAGAGTCACGAGATCTATCAGTTACATAGTAAGTGTTTGAGAAAGAGAAAGAATGGAGAAGTAATAGTTGTCCCTTGAACAACAGGTGTGTGAACTGCTTGAATCTATTCATACATGACTTATTTTGACTTTATTTTTGTGTAAATTGTGAGATATATGTTCCCATCTGACTACCCAAAAGTCCCCAAATCATTTAATAAATATTCTCCCCTTTCTCCCTAATGTAAACTTCATCTTTTATAATGTATAGTCTATTGACAATCATAAACTTTTTATGCATTATTTAAAGGGAGTGTAATTTGGATTATAAAACATGATTATTTTGAAATTATTTACTTATTTCTATATTATAGGAAAATATACAAGGAGAGAATTATAAGAATAATGTTTCATCTATGAACATAAATATTCAAGATACACTGAAACATCTCCATGCGGATAGCAGCGGTGGTGTTCCCAAAGCAGAAGATAAAGATAAAAGCCAGGCTAGAAAGCTACATGGTTCTAAGTCCCATAAAGTCATGTCTAAAGCATGTACAAATGATGATCAAGTGAAGATGGTGTTAAGGAGTGCAAATCCAGTTAATGCTTGTTATAGGGAGAGTGGGCAAAATAAGACTTTATGTACAGCCAATTCAAGCTGCAAACAAAACCTATGTGAAGAAACAACTTCTGAAAAAAAGAACTTTGTTTCTCAGTCAAGGTATAATTTAATAATTGTTTCTAACTTTTACTTTACTTATTTATTCAGCATTTGTGTGTGTGTGTGCGCGTGTAGTACAATGTGCTATACTCCTAAGCACTGGGATATAGAAATGATAAAACATGGTTTTGGGAAGAAACCTAATGTAGGAAGTTTTGGGAAAAGGGTTTGGATGGGACAGTCTTGGCCAGTTCGTCTAGGGTCTGGCATGTCATACTCAAGATTTTCTGTTTTAACTTATAAGGTATTAGGAGCCATTGATAATTTTAAATCAAATGGCATAATCAGATTTGAATTTTAGAAGGGATACTCAGAAAACTTAAACTGAATGTCTATAGCTGAAATAATGATACACATATTGATAATCAGCAATTTGGCAAAAGCCGGTTTGTATGTTTAATTTGATAAATGGCGGTAAGGTGTGATTAAGATCTGGTTTAGGCTTACCTTTTCATTTGTCCCCTTACCCCCTCTCCAGTACATGTTCTTTCTCCCTCATGGGTAGCCTTCGGGACTGGACCTGGAATCACAGCCTTTCTTCCTAGAACCTTTCTTGTGTTGTGCTCTTCTGATAGTTCCTGGACTATGAGGGAGACTGAAGACGATGCTGCTATGTTTTGGGAGGTTGCAGGGTAAAACAGGTGTTAGAAAGATGGATTATATCATCACATTCCCTTTTCCTTTTCCAAACCATGTAATTTTAACTTGATTTCTTAGGAATGTAGAATTGGGAATTAGTGAGATATGCTCTTGAGCCAGCCTTCTTGCCCTCTGGCCCACTGAATTTGTTATTTCCTCTTTTTTGCTTTTCTTCTTTCTTATTTTCCTCTTTTTTTCCCCATGTTTCTGCTGACATCAGTATTGTTGCTGTTTGGAGTCTTGTTTAACTCCACTTTTTTTTAAAAATTGAAGTAGAGTTGATGTTACAGTTACAATGTCTCAGCTGCACAGCAGTGATTCACTTACTGTTCTTTTTCAGATTCTTTTCCATTATATATTACTACAAGATACTGAATATAGTTCCCCATTCTATACTGTAGGCCCTTATTATCTATTTATATATAATAGTTAACTCCACTTTTAGAAACAAGGTTGTATATAACTGCTGCATACCATACTTTGGCAGAATTTGGTGGGTTTCAGTAGATCCTGGTTCCAGCTCCTTCTGTCTGCCAAACTCTGCTTATATAGAAACATTTGTTCACACACCAGTGTTTACTTATAGTAATCTTGTGTCTATTTTCTTTTAGAGACCAAATTTTTAAACACCCAACTCCTATTGCCAAAAACACAAAGCAGCAATTACCAGTAACAGGTATGACTAAAAATGTTTCTTCTTTGATTGTTGAACATATTCAGGTGATTAATATAGCTAAAAATGTACATTGGTATATCTTCTCTCTAACATACAAGCCATGCCTTTACCTCTCTTTCTAAACAAAGTGCTTCAGTCACCTGTTGTTAATATCCAGAACCTTTCTATTTATCCACTAGGATGACTGATGTGTAGTCCCGGGCTACAGTTTATGAAAATTTTCAGAATTAATAAATCTTGTAAATGTCACATACTTTTTACTAATCAAAAATACCTTGCATTTTGCAATTTTTTCTCCAGATCCATTTACATTATGTTCAGATATAATAAATAAAGAAGTCATCAGTTTTCTAGAAACAGACAGTTGTTCCAAAAGGTTGAGGTATAGATGTTCAGGTAAGTATTTTTTTAATTGTAATTGTTTCATAATTAAAGTTTATATGACATAAGTTAACCAGAATTTGTAATAGTTCTACCAGTGTGATTTAGACTTCATTCCCTTTGGAGAAATAACAATCTTGGGTGTCATAAAAAATTCAAATTAATACCTTTTATCTACAATAGCCTGTGTTCCCAGTATTTGTTCATATGAGTCAACACAGCTAATAGTTTTTAAAAATTACTTTATTATTCTCTTTTTGTCACCATCTATAAGTTTAGCTTTACTGAGTAAGGTAAACATTTTTTGTATTTTCAGAGAGTCAATAAATAGGTATATATTCTGGATTATGTTCTGAAAATCATAGGCATTAATTGTCTATATTTATAGTAAATTTATAAGTTTTTCTAGTATTCCATGTCCCATTATTTCTTTTTTCTTCAGGGTCCTCAGTGCTTACTCCATCCTTTCTTCTCCTTCATATCCAAGTATTTGTTCTTTGTTTACTCTTATTGTTGCACTCTGCCCTTTGGAGAAAATTGAGGCTATTCCACATTAGGCTCAAAAATACTACTGTTCTTCTGCCTTCCACCAGTCGTGCCCAACTCTTTGCAGGATTATAGCCTGCCAGCCTCCTCAGTCCATGGAATTTCCTACGCAAGAATACTGGAGTGGGATGCCATTTCCTCCTCCAGGGGATCTTCCTCACCAGGGATCGAACCTATGTCTCTGTGTCTCCTGCATTGGCAGGCAGATTCTTTACTACTGAGCCATCTGTTATTCCTTGACCTTTCTCTTCCTGCCAAATTTCTGCAGATATTTCCCCCACTAAAATAATCTACAGCACTTCCTCAACTCTGCTGCAACATATACTTTTGTGGTATCATCTCTCATTTTACCAGTGATTTTCAAATCTGTATCTCCACACTTCACTTGTACCTTGGGTTATAGCCATGTTCTGCCATTTCCAGCTGTATCCAGGACATACTCACTTTAATATCTTGTTATTTCAAATTTAATATATTAAAAACACAATAACTTTCTTCCTCTTAAACTTCCCTCCCTCCAGCATCTTCATTTTTGTTAATATTGCCACTATTCTTCTGGCCCCCCAGATATCAAACATTGAGTCATCTATAACTATCTTTTCTCCTTAGATCCCCTATTTCTAGTCTATCAGATTTGGTTGTTTCTTTCTTTCCCACACAGGCCTCTTTTCCTTCATGCCTCAATTACTCCAGCAACTCTCTAGCAGTCTTTCAGTCTCAAGTCTCACCAACCCCCAAGTCACGCATATTGCTCTTAATTTCTCTTCCTCATGTGCTTTTTATCATGTTACCAGGGTAAAGAACCCTCAGTGCTTCTCTGTAACTCACAAATCAAACTCTCTGCCTGGCTTTCAAAATTGTGTGGAATTTTGTTCTGCTTCCGCTTGTAAAATTTTACTGCACATTTGTTCTACCAGAAATGTGCTGTGTTTATTCCAGACCCTGCCATTCGATCCATCACAATTGAGCATTGTCCTAAACATCTCTCTTATCCTAATAGCTCATTATTCATCAATTTTACCTTAGAAATCTCTGCCTTCTCCCAGCAAATGTTGTATTTCAGAATCCCCTCATTTGTTCTCTGGACTATTTAACTATCCTCAACTGATTCTCTTACTTTCAGCTGAGCTTTCTCTTAGACAAATTACATCATATCCCTGCTTGATAAATATCCCTCAGTTCTGCCATTGACTTGAAGATAGCTAAAAATCCTTAGGATGGTTCTCAAGACTCTTGTTGATCGACCCCTGGCAACCCTTACCAGCCTCAACTTTTCTCCCACACTTCTCTCATACGTTATACTCCAGCCACACACGACACCTGTGATTGTCTGAACACACTACACTTTCTCACTCTTCTGTGCTTTTGCATGTGTTCTTTGTACTTAAAATGTCCTCATCCCTGCCAACTTTCTGTCTGGCTAACTTTTTCTTTAGGCAACAGGCAGATAGAGTACCTTATAATGTATGGATGTGGCTAACATTACCTGAAGCTACTGATCAATGTTAACGTTTAAAAAAAGATAGTCAGACTTTATGTGTCTGTTAATACAATACAATTAGAAGTCCACACTACTACCTGTGAGGAATTCTACTAAAAACAACTTAATCTGAATCTGATCAGTCATCTAGATCTAATTAACAGTTTCTTGGGCACATAGGAACATTTTAAAGGATACAACTAGGATGTAATCAGCAAAACCCCAACTTTGGGAAATTGCACATTACAAATGACCTGGTGTCTCCAACAGGCAAATGACAAAGAGGAAGAGAGGAGAAGTGATAGATTAAAAGAAACTCAAGAGACATATCAGCTGAATGTAATGGTCGACCTTGTTTGAATCATGATTCAAATAAACTGACCATAAAGAGAAAGTTTTAAAATGATGGGGAAATTTGAGCACTGACTGGATATTAGATTATATTAAGCATAATTTTCTTAGGTGTGATAGTGGTTTTGCCATTTAAAGAAATAAGACAAAATAAGTACTTTTTAAAAAGAGTTCTTATCTGTTAAGAATGCATATGAAATAATACTCAAATGCAACTTCAAGGCTTCATAATCCAGTGTGTACAGGAAGGCAGAGCTGAGTAGGTAGAGGGAGATAAAATATGATTGGCCTTGAGTTAAGAATAGTTGAAGCTAGATGCTAGTTACATGTAGGTTCATTATTCTTTTCCATTGATTCTCATGTATTTGAAGTGTTCCATAATATTAAAAAAAAAAAAGATGACTAAGCTTAAGGGTCATTTCTTTTGGATATCTTCCCTAACAGTGACTCCTGCTCAGAATTAGACCAAGCTAGACGCCCCTTTCCTATATCACCATAAGTGTTTACACCTCTGTTACAACACTCATTTCCCTGTATTGTATTTGTTGTCTTTACTCTTTCATATGATGTGGCTTTGAGTTTCGTAATGTATTTATAATTAACTTTCTGATTTCACTTCAGTTACCATCATAAAGATATTTGCTTTCATAAATTTGTTATTAAATATTTTATAACATCTATGCATCATTTTAATTTGTTTTCTTTTAGGTTGCATAGCAGTAGGAAAATCCTTGAATAGTCGAAATTTTAGCAAGCTCTTGCACAGTTGCCCATACCAATGTGATCGTCACAAAGTCATTGTGGAAGCTGAAGACAGATATAAAAGTGAACTAAGGAAATCACTTATCTGTAACAAAAGTAATTAATTCAGCAGTTTTAAAACTGTAATTATGACTGTACCTTCTGAACTATGATCTAGAACGTTAAGTATATTAAAAGCTAAAGGGTACAAAAAGCGTTGAAAAGAAAATCTGTCTCTGAGCAACTATGATTTAAAATGTTCCCAGGGAGTAGATTTAGTCTCTGGTGGTTTAAAAATTCTTCCTAATCCACCTAAGGATTCCCATTAGAAGGGGAAAAAAGGAAATATCATACTAATGGAATTGATGTGATACTACTCAGATTAATACTCTAAGTAGGCTAAATGTTTTCGTATTTTTCAGAAATTCTGCTGACCCCACGTAGAAGACAGCAACTCAGTAGTGAATCTACTACCTCTGGAAGAATAAGTGAATATACTTAATTTTTAAATAAATATAAATTTAATATATTCCTGAAACAGAACAGCTCAATGATTGTTCTCAGTCACATCATTAATGACTTCTAAATAATAACCCTTGGCTCTGATAAGTCATATTTCCTGAGAAAAGAGGTTTCCCTCCTCCCTTCCTCATGCCACTCGCTCATCTCTTGCTTTCTAGTTGGGGGAGGAGCAGGAGAAAACAACATTTATTAAGAACCCGTTATGTATTAGGTGTTTATGGATATTATTTCCTTTATTTCATAAAATAAAATTGTAAGATAAGGTATTATTTTATTTCCACTTTCTTTTTTAGGTTGCATAACAATAGGAAAATCCCTGAATAGCCAAAATTTGCCAGTGAGCAAATGGCAGAACTTAGATTCAAATCCAAGTTTGTCTTTCTCCAGAACCCCCGGTTCATTCCTCTGGATCACATTTCTGTTTTAAGAATAAAGTTATTCTCCTATGCACAAGTGCTTCAGAAAGGTTTTGCAGAAGATTTTGGTTTACATCTATAGCACTTCAAATAATCAAAATTGAAAGACAAATAGTATAAAGCTTAGATCCCTGCTTAAAAATTAATATACTTCTCAGACTATGAGTTAACTTATAGGAGGTTTTATTAAACTACAGGGTTAATAGTTCAGGTTTATCACCATTCCAAATTTATCATGAGACTTAAAGAACGTTACCATTTTCTTCTGTTTGTATGGAATTAGTACCTGCAGAATAAGAGTAAGCAATTGAGTACATTACTTGTCAAAGTAACCTAGAAATTAATAGCCATTAGTAACTATAGAGCCATTCTGTTATTTATTGTGAAGCGGTCTGGACTTGATCCATCCAGGAAACATTTTGCCACTCACGTTTGTTTAGCCATTTTCACTGCCAAAACCTTGAAAGAAATTTCAGATTTACTTTTTATAACTGGGTCTTTTTCAAGATTAAAATTTCTGCATATAAATTAAGTGCAGTATCAGTATAGGGTAGCCCACTTTTTGAAGTAATATTTTCCGTAGAAACTGTTAGAAAATAGATATTTTTCCATAGAAATGTTGCAGTTGGAAATCTTGTCTTTGACAAGGAGTTTGCATCAAATTAACAATAGAATTTCTTCACCAGCATGTCTTAAAAGCAAATATAAAACAACTAAAAATATTTGATAATCATTTTTCATAGTAAAGTCATTTTCAGAACCTCATGAAATATACATAATTATTCCTATATATTGATTATACAGAGGGATCCTAAATACTGTTAGGATCATTTTCAACTCATAAACACCTACATCTTTTTTGTAGGTTAGAACTGCTTAGTTAAATAATAAGTTGGCCTGCTGTTTTTCAAATTTAGGCATCTTGAGGAGGTGGTGATTAGATTGGCCTTATATCTCTTATAGGGCTTCCCAGGTGGCAGTAGTGGTAAAGAACCTGCCTGCCAAGGCAGGAGATGTGGGTTAGGAAGATCCTCTGGAGGAGGGCATGGCAACCCTCTCCAGTAATCTTGCTTGGAGAATCCCATGGACAAAGGAACCTGGCAGACTACAGTCCATGGGATCACAAAGAGTGGGACACGACTGAAGTGACTTAGTATGCATCCATATCTCTTTTACAGGCAGGACAGGAATATTTAATGTACTGTTTTCCCCCTGTTAATAAATTTCCCTTTCATACTAGAGACATTCATTACCTTTCATTTGGTTATAGGTTACACTCAAATTTGAGACTACTCTTTTGAGAAGGGACCATTGCAGCATCTAAGTATTTAAAAGAGTCTTGGGGACAAGGCTTTTTTAGGATGGATTGAAAGATAAGTCTAAAACTGAGTTTTCTTGCCTACTTTTCCCTACTATTTTCTTCTCCCTGCTTTCTTCTAATGCCCAATCAGTATAAAAAAGAGCACTAAAGAAGCCACAGAAGGGAGCCTTGTGGTGTAGAGAGCTGTTTCCCCTTCTAGGCTGCCCACTGCTCTGCTGCGGAAACCTTTGAGGAGTTGGGCACAGATGTTAATTTAAGTTAGAAGTCAGTGAAATGGCAACTGCAGTGAAAAAGTGGGGATGGGCTCTACATGAACAACCCCAAGACCCAATATCCTGAATGATATAATAACCCATCTGGTTCTGATTATAATGAGTTTTGAGATCATTTAGCAAGTGAAATTGAAATCATTTATTTCTCAGAGAACTACAGTTTCCCAGTAGACCTAAAAGTAAGAAGTAACTTCATTGATGAGTTTTTAAAATATTTATATGTATATATATATATTTTATATTTAAAATATATTTAATATATTAAATATATGTTATTTTTGGTTGCTCTTCGTCTTCGTTGCTGTGTGCAGGCACTCTAGTTGTGTGGAGAGCAGGATCTACTCCATTGCAATATGTGGGCTTCTCATTGAGGTGGCTTCTCTTGGGGAACACAGAGTCTAGGCACACAGGCTTCAGTGGTTGCAGCACGCGAGCTCAGCAGCTGTGGCACACTGGCTTAGTTGCGCTGAGGCATGTGGAATCTACCGGGACCACAGATCGAACCCGTGTCCCCTGCCCTGGCAGGTGGATTCCTATCCGCTGTACCACCAGGGAAGTCCCAGTGATAAATTTTTAAAAAGTTTTTACCAGCAGTAACTTTTTTTTCTTTCAACAAATATTTATTGATCACCTCCCGTGTGTCTGACACAATTTTAGGCACGGGGGACATAATGGTGAGTGAAACACAAAAATCCCAGTCTTCATGGATCTCGAATTCTAAGCAATACTATTCGGTAATAATTAGACATTATTTCATTGATTTCTTGGCCTTCTGCTGCTAAGATTTTTCTCTTCTGGTTTAAGAGATCTGAACTGTGGCTCCTATCTTAGGAGAGATGGACTAACAGTCCTGACCTGCAAAGGCAAGATTTTCTAAGGTTGTCCCAGCAGTTATTCCAGGTCCTACTCCATTAGGACCTTAATTGGAAATACAAAAACTCCTCCTCATCAGAATTCACAATGAAATAAAAACCTTAAAGGAGGACTATTTCCTGGTAGTCATGACTAGAAAATATTTGTTTACGGATATCAACTGTGTATTCTTTCTGTTGTAGAAATTACCCCTAAAAACCAGATAAAACTTCCTCCTTGTGCAGCCTGTTTTGTTTTTTTTGTTTTTTTTTTTAGTTTTAATCAAGCTAGCCTTCATATAGGTGATGAACATGTTCTTTAAATCAAACTTCAAAAAAGACCCTTAATCCTTTAAAAATATTAATCAAGCATGATAATTAAAGTAACAAGTATTGATATTCTTTTCTATGAAGTTATGGAGCCCTTTGGGAAGACTAGCTGTAAGACAGGTAAGTGGTTAACTGTCCTCACAGGAATGTTGAAAGAGTTAACAACCAAATGTTCATAAAATTTTGTGTCTCTTATCATAAGATTAAGTTACAGTTATTACAGAGATCACAGTGATAGCATCTAGGTTGATAGTAGGCACTCAGAGATTGTTTGTTTGTTTTCATTTGAAGTGTATTTTCATATGATGAGTAGCCCAGGCATGAAGTTTTCTCACTGTATAATCCATATCCTTAGAATAAGTTTTTATTTGATTCTCAAGAAGATCTCTTTTTTTTAGCAAGTACTAATATATTCTACAATTCTCATTAATTACAGAGAAAAGAAGAATTCGTAAAAACTTTACCAAAGAAGAAATAAATTACCTTTTCAATGGAGTTAAGAAAATGAGAAATCACTGGAATTTAATTTTGTGGTCTTTCCCCTTTCAGCAAGGACGGAAGGCTGTAGACCTTGCTCACAAATACCACAAGCTGACCAAATGCCCCAAGTGTGTGGATCCTTGATTGGAAGAAGACTTGTCAGTTGTTAGTTTGACACCTTGAAAAACAGTGTGTTAAAAATACAAAATTTTAAATATTCTTAGACACTCTCATGAGACAGGAAATGTGGCAATGGGGATATTGTTTTAATTATTTTTTGTGATGCTGTAGCTCATCAGACTATTAAAATAACTTATAAGGACTTCCCTGGTGGTCTAGTGTCTAAGACTCCGTGCTGTCAATGCAGGGATCCTGGATTCAGTTCTTGGTCAGGGAATTAGATCCCATAAGTTGCAACTAAAAATCCCCTGCAACTAAGGCCCAGTGCAGCCAAATAAAATTATTTTTTTAAATTATAAAACAAGTACATTTTCTTCTAAAAATTTTATTTTATCATATCTTTGGCTGCGCTGGTTGTGATGTGTGGGCTTCTCTCTAGTTCTGGTACGAGAGCTCTCTAGTTGTAGCATGCAGCCTTAGTTGCCCCATAGCATGTGGGATCTTAGTTCCCTGACCAGAGATTGAACCCATGTTCCATGCATTGGAAGACAGATTCTTAACCACTGGACCATCAGAGAAGTCCCTAAAACAAATACATTTTCAATGTGTAGATTGGTAGGACAAAATTCCATATGAGGTGAAACACATGTTTAGGATTATCCTTTTTTTCCCTTAAGCTCAACCTAGGTCAGAGAAAAAAAATTATTGGCCTTTAAACATTATTTGACATTATATACTATATGAGACACTGGATTTAGTATTTTTACCCAGTGAAAGTCCCTCCCTGGAACTTAGTTTCCCAAGTTGTTCAAATTATGTTCCCGCACACACTAATGTTTCTCCTTCTAAAGGCAATTGTGCAGTTGCTCCAAATACTCCAAATTCTATTGTCAGGTTCACTTCTTTTTGGTGCATATTTATTTGCTTCTGCATTTTCAAAGTTTGAAACAATTTTTGTTTGTTTGCTTTTAAGTTTTCTTCTAGTTGGAAACCAAACTATTAAATCTCAAACTTCTATTTTTCTTACTCTTTTTATATTCCATCACACCAATGCATTCTTCATTATACTTAAAATACTGTGGCAGTGATCAAGTATCAAGGCCTTAAAGCTCAGTTGCACTTCTGTACACATTGGCTGTTTGATGTCATTCTTACAAATAATGAAGGGTATTTTCCTATAAGCATGTATTGGATCCTTTCAGATCATGAGTATGTCTTCTTAGATAAAGCAGAATTTTTATTAATTTCTGTTCTACAATGAAAATACCGGAGGGTCAATAAGCAGAAAAGTCTGTTTAAAATCCAAAAGTTCCTTTAGGCCTAAGAATAATTTACAATTAGGAAAATTCTTTGCATCATCTAAAGTATGAGTGAATTTAGTCCATTATCAGTATTTCCTAAGCTCTATGGAGGTGATTTAAATGGTCTGCTGGGCTACTGTGATGTGTAATTCTCAAGATATGTGAATGTTGTTTTAGGTCAACGGGGAAAACATTTTGTTGCCTCAACCTTGCTGGCAATAGTTTTTTTTGTTTGTTTGTTTTCTGTTTTAATTGGAAATTATCTGTAACAGAAAATCAAATACTACTTACATCCCCAAGAGTATGACACACTGCAACTTGGAAGATGTTTTGTATCCGTCACTGACACTTTATTTAAAATAACTTACATTGCCTTCTGAAACCTTCTTGAAATTTTATCCTAACCTTTGGCTAACTTGGTTAACGTGAACTGCTTTTTTTCCCTCAAATGGAATTTGATAGTAAATAAATACACATCAAAAGGAAAGCCAAAGAATGATCACATATTAGAGGACTGTTTGGTTTTAGGAACCCAAACCTGACCAGTTCCACAGGGAACAAGAAGTCAGACCCTTGGAGTTGGAGCTTACCTCAGTTATAGCTCCTTGCCAGAGGCATGAACTAACTGCTGTACAACAATCCAGACATTGGTGACTGTCTTTAGTTTTGCCTATATGCTCAGAAACCTGGAATTTACTGTTCACAGGATGATAATTGATGGTAAGTTTTTCCTTATGCCAAAATGAAATATGCCTTTCTGGAGTACCTCCTGCAGAACCACAAAAGTTGAATCTCTTTTCCACATACCAGCCCTTTAGAGAGTTAAAGATATATGTTCATCAATTTCCCCTCTACATCCTTCATCTTCCATGCTGCTGAATCTTAGCTACTTCCTGCTTCAGCAGAATAGTGTCATGTCCCCTTATGAACTTAGTCACTGACCACTGGGCACCTTTTTGTTTATAGACTGTCCACCCCAAAATGTGGACTGACTGGCAGAGTATAAGGACCAGTTTCTTTGCTATCCCAAAGGTTTTATAAGAGCAAGTGAGCGTGGACTCAATTCAGTGAGTCTTGTGTGCTAAGTCATGTTCAACTCTTTGCAGCCCCATAGACTATAGCCCTCCAGGCTCCTCTGTCCATAGAATTATCCTGGCAAGGATACTGGAGTGGGTTGCCATTTCCATCTCCAGGAGATCTTCCCGACCCAGGGATCAAACCTGTGTCTCTTGTGTCTCCTGCATTGACAGGTGGATTCTTTACTACGAGTGCCACCTGGGAAGCGCCAACAGTTTTATGGACCTTACCTAACATGCTTCTTGGCATTCTACATGACCAACTCTCCAATTATAATTGATATAGTTAAGACATGATTTTTTTTTTTTTTTTACTAATTCTTACCTTGTTCTTATTTTAACTCCACTACAAGACTTCAGTGTTTGTATGTGTTAATCAGTTGTGTCCAACTCTTTGTAATCCCATGGACTACAGCCTGCCAGGCTCCTCTGTCCATGGAATTCTCCAGGCAAGAATATTGGAATAGGTAGCTATTTCCTTCTCCAGGGGATCTTCGCAATCCAGGGATCAAACCTGGGTCTTCTGCATTGCAGGCAGATTATTTACCATCTGAGCCACCAGGGAAGCCCCATAAGACTTCAGTGGTCCCTGTTAAATTGAATTTTAGATTTATTCTGTAATCAGTTTGTCATCCAGTGTGTCAGGCCTCCCTTCCTGCTTCAGGTCATCCACAACTTCTGTGAGTATGTGGCTGCATTCTCATCCAAGTCACGAATGGTATACCCTGAATTGACTGGGCCAAGGCAGGAGATTGGAGCAGGCTCCTAGCAGCCTCCTTGGGGGTGGAGGGGAGGGGGTGCTTGCTTATCAGCCCACTCTGGGCCTGGTCTTTAACAAGCCCAGATACCATCATCCAGCCTACATTTCACTTTCTCGTTTACGATGTGCATTGGCAAATGTCCTGTTGAAATCTGAATTTGCTATGTCTGCAGCATCCTCCTACTTGGTATTCCTGCAAAAAAAAAAAGAAAGAAACTAAATCTGGTGCTATCTTTTCCTTTTCCAACTGGTCACATTAGAGAATTTCACCTAGGGGTGATGAATTTCACTAGCCTGTAGTTTCCAACTCCATCTTTTGTTCTGTGAAAATTCTGATACTAATGATTTACAACACTTTCTCTGCTTTTCCTAGACTTCCAGAGGTATAATTCTCTTAAGTTTTCACTCCTATTGTCTTGTTTGAACCTTATATTCAGGTTGGCACATATGCTGATTTGTTAGATCCTTTAATTCATGCTGCCAAAATGTTGGCAGAGCCAGGATCAGAGTCCTACTCATCTGAAACCCACATACTTGATTGCTTTTCTGCTATATCCTACTTCCTTGTGGTATTTAGAAATGCTTTGTAAAATGCCTATGCTTCCACAGAGCCCTCAGGTAGCAATCACACCTAAAGTGAAACTGGACAGGTGAAATGTATTTTTTTCTTTCCTTTTCTTCCCATTACCCTCATCCTCCCCTTTCCTCCCCTGTCCCTTCTCCATTCACATCTATTCCTTTTTCTTTCTTTTCCTGAAGAAAGGAAATTAAAGCCTAGTATTTTTGGTGTCAAACGGTGGCTCCCAGAAAAAAAAAAAAAAAAGCCCTGTTATTAACGTCAAAAGTGTATTATTCATTGCGGTAAAAATCACTGCCTCGTGGTCTAAATAGGGTCAAGGAAGAACGACGTGAAAAGCAGGATATTTGTATTTGGGGAGTCTCGTTTAAGGCCGATCTTTCAACTCGTGGCTCGATTAGGATTAGGCAGAGTTCATGGTATATATAATAGGTTAAAACTTGTGAGTAAGACTGGAAGTACCAGGATGCTATCAAAAGATAGCTGGAAAGCATTGAGTCCTCGGTCAGGTTTCTTAAGATTTCTGAGCTTCAGGTTCCTCACCGTTAAAGAGTTTGACGAGATTTAGTGAGATAACGTGGGACTCTGGCACACGATAAGCGCTCGACAAACGGCGCTATTCTGTATTGTTCTCATTCCAAAGCCTCAGCTTTTCGCTTCAGCGCCTCCGTCCGGTGCCTCGGTCCTCGGACAGCTCAGCCGGAGCGGCCACTGGACGGAAGACCGGGAACCGGGGGTGCTGTTGCCCTCTTCGGCCGGCAGAGGCCGTCAGCGCGACCTCCGCCCGGGCGGCTCCCGCTCGCACCGCCGCCTCCCTGAGCAGGGCTGCCCAGGCAGCTGCCTGACCACCGCCCACCTCCCACCACCGCGGTGGCCTCACGACCCTGTAGGAGCCCGCGGACTTAGCAAGCCCGGCGGAGCGCGGCGAGCGGCTTCCTCGCGGGTCCTCGGCGGGCCCGGGGGAGGGCCCTCTTTGTGGCTGCAGTTGGCAAGATGGCGCCGGTGGGGGTGGAGAAGAAGCTGCTGCTGGGCCCCAACGGGCCTGCGGTGGCGGCCGCCGGCGACCTGACCAGTGAAGAGGAGGAGGGCCAGAGTCTATGGTGAGGCTGCGAGGCGGCCGGGCTACGGCAGCCGGTCCGGGGAGGGTGCGACCGGGCGGGGCGGACCGTCGGACGGACTGACGGGCAGTCGCGGACCGGTCAGTTTCAGGCTGGTCCCGGGGCCGACCGCTCTGCCGTTTCCCCACAGGTCCTCGATCCTGAGCGAGGTGTCCACCCGCGCCAGATCCAAGCTACCGTCCGGCAAGAACATTCTGGTCTTCGGTGAGCGCCGCCGGCGGGGCGTTGTCCGGGGAGCTGGGGTGGGCGAGGCGGGGCGCCCTCTCCCTGGCCCCTGCCTTCCCCTCCTCTGCCGCCTGCCTGCTCGGGAGGGCCTGGAGACCCTGGCTGGACAGTCCTAGTGTGGCCGAGTCACCACGGCCGAGGTCGG